CAAAAAGTGAAGCATTGTGAAACTCTCAATCTTTGATAAGTATTGTGAACTTTAATATTTTTGACATGCACTCTAATATATATATATATATATATATATATATATATGATTAATGTGAGTAAAATTGCTACTTAGCTGATTTATGTTACCTTCAACATCTCAATTCCAGAGTTTCATAGACATGCCTGTTTGTCCACTCTTCAGGGGATATATCAGCAATGTACTGCTGATGTTTTTTCAATTTTTGTTTTCTTATACACATTTGGTACTGGTGTAAATTTTCTTCTGTATTCTCTGTGTTAGCATATGTTTTTGCCCACATGCTCATGTGCACTTGTCTGCATGACATGATCATATTTTTTTTTTTTTTTTAAACCAGTAGCAGAGTTAATCTGGTTCCATTTCTGCTTCAGACATGTGACCTATTTTTTTTATTTATGGGCATTTTAGTTAGGGAAGATGTATTTCGTTTTATATATAAATAAATTATATTAATGCTTAGGCAATATATATATATATATATATATATATATATATATATATATATATATATATAATTATTTATTTAAAAATATGATTCAACTCGCAAATAAATAATTATATTTATGCTCTACATTTGTATCGAGCACTATTTTTAAAACATAATAACTAAAATACTAAGGAACTTTGGATCTACCTAACCAGTTCTTTCCTATTTTCTATATATTTTCACAAATATATATATATATATATGATACCAATGATGTTAATGCTTAAATGGTAAATACTTATACATACACATGCTCACACACACATATATATATATATATATATATATATATATATATATATATATACACATGCACACATACATATATTTATATATGTTCACTAGGCTATTATTTCGGGTTTTTTTTAATTTGGTTTGGTGATATCATAAGTATTAATTGTTGGAGGTTAGATTTATAATCAAATTTATTTATTACTGTTAGAATTTATGTGCCTATGTCTGTAATTATACACTTGTGTACACACATGTACACATCTATTTGCACATGCACTTAGGTATACACATGCATAGATGAGCACAGATGTGCATACACCGGTACATGTACACTTAAGTCTGTGCTTTATGGTGAAGTTGTTTTTTTTTTTTTTTTACATATACATATATATAATGTACACTCCCACACACCTACACATGTACTGCAGTACACGTGCACATTTATGTAATTGTTAAATAGTGCATGTAATTGAAATAAGCATATTCATATATCATATGTTATTTTTTATTTTTATTTAATGTTTAGTAGTTTGTTTTTGCATTGGTGTTATATACTGAAGTATTAATCATGGTAGGTTAAGTTCACTTTTTGGTGTTTGTGTGTGGATGTGTTCACATATACTGGTAGACATACATGCATAGGTGTGTACTTTAATATTTATTTGTTTTTTAAATTAAGTTTATATTATATTTGTTTCTTATATTCAATTATTTACAGTTTTTATTATTTTTTTAAGGTTTCTATTTATTTGTTTATTTTTAGTTAGTGCAAAGTAAATATTTATTTATATGCCTACATTTACCTATTATTTCAGTTTTCTTGTTTAAGAGTTTATTTTGGTTTATGGGGAAATGTATGACATGTGATACATTTCGTCCTTCAGCACTTCAGAGTAAATTTATTATGTTGATATGGCTACATAAGCATACAAACGAAGAGTGCTGGGGATTTCAGAATTTTTTTTTTTTTTTCATCTAGCCTAACTCATTCTTTCAAACATCTCCAGTACCCTAATTATTTTATATTCAATGCAAAAAAAAAAAAAAAAAAAAAAAAAAGTCCCATAAAATATCCCCCCAAAAAAAAAAACAGTCCCTCCTGAGAAATCTAATGCATCCAAAAATATATCCTACTATCACATCTACAACTGAAAGACTTAGTCAATACTAAACAAAACAATAAGCTAAAACCTGAAGGAGGAATTTACTCAATAATAACAGTAATAACTGTCATAAAAAATATATAGGAGAAACCTCAAGGAATTTAAATAAAAGTATATGAACACAAAAGGGAAATATTAGAAAATAATGCATCAAATACATTGGTTGCCCACCATAACGAGACTGGCCACAACTTTGACATAAAAAATGCTACTCTGATCATAGAAAAAAAATAATTCACTTTAACATAAATGTCTAGGAGTGCCTTAATTACAAAGTCATCTATAGTAAATTTGCACCCTGGCTCTTATAACATTTCACTATTCCTGGCAGGACTTCTATTATCACAAAATTGATTAAGAAAAAAAAAAAAAAAAAAGAATACAGTTAGATATATAAAAAAAAATTCTAAAATCACCCGTACTCCAAATTTGTGCTCATGTGTAGTTGTACCAACAACAAATTTAGTCCCATGAAGACTTGAAGGACAAAACATTACAAGTAAACTATTTCTACTTTGTCATACATTTTCCCCAATATTGTTCCTGATTATATGTGTGTAAAAACGCATGTGAAGATGCTCATACATTTGTTGCAATTGAGACTCACTTCTGTGTGGGCCTGTGCAGCCATAACAAATGCCACACGACCATCAGCAGCTGAGACATAATTCTTTGGTAGTAGATCCAAGGACAGATGCAATATTATTATTTATGTATATGCATACTGTAAGTGGCTCTAACTAAAGGATATTGAGCAATGTATTAAAAAAAAAATTAATGTTAGGCTGCATTTGGCTTATTTGAATGTTACAAGAAAATCTTACTAAAAGGAAATAATGTTTACATATTTATTATATATATATATATATATATATATATATATATATATATATATATATTAGTAATAGTACTAAAAGAGGTTTTGTCTGCCAGTTTAGAAGTTCTATTGCAAAAAACTGAAAAAAATGATAGTGCGGTGTTTTATTTGTGTAACTTTTTTCGCAATAAAACCACTTTTCAATGTAAACAATGATATTAATCCTGTAAAAAGACTTATGAAAACAGAATAAATATTTGCATTATTTCAAGAAGTAAAATATTTCATTCTAAATGAAATGCAAGGCTAATAATTTTATACAAAGGGAAATTAGTCATAAAAGTGTCATAGTTCAGATGAAGAATGTATGTATTGTTTTGGGATTAAGTCCAACCCTGATGTGGAAATATGAAGACATCAAATACAATCTCTTTGTAATGTAAATTGAATACACCATTATGTATGCAATATACAAACTGATGCCTATGTTATATGACCAGGAAAACTAACATAGGAGAAAAAAATATCAAAGTTACTCACTTCTTTCAAGGTTTTTAAGGCATCCACATATTCTTGTTCATTCTGATACAATTCTTGAACGATGTGGTATCGCTGGTCCTGTAAAACAAAAAGAGAAAGAAAATTGAGATTTGTTTAAAATTCAAATTCAGGGGTTTGGATAAAATTTAAATTCAAGGATTTGGTATGCTTTCTAACTGGAACTATTTTGATTACTTCTGGAGAATTTTGGTCAGAATATATTGATTATTTCAAAATGATTTAGTCCACAAAATGTTTCATTATATCCATTTTTTTTACTATTTCAATCTGCAAAGGAGACTGGAAAACCAAACATGGAGTGAAAGAAAATATACAAATAAATAAACTCAAATATATGAACCTAATCAGAAAAAAACAAATACTTGTTGGACATATTACTTTAGTAATAACAAAATTTTGACTGACAAACCAAATGTAAAACATTAATTCTGTTTTTGAGCTCAATTGCTTATCCACAATCACAAGCATGCTCCAAAGAACCCCTCCTCTTTATAAATGGTTACTTTATATTCAAAGCCAATGGCACACCCTCTATTGACCTTAATAATTCTAGTTTCAAGAAAGATTATCCAACTTAAATACTAATAATAATTTGTTAAGTTGGATGGTCTGTAGTTTGAATAAAACACAAGAGGAAGAAATGTCATATAAGCTTGATTCATTCAGAGAAACTGAGTAAATGAGGAGAGAGTTTTTGCAAAGGCCAAAATATTGTGGGTAACATATGTCTATACAGAGGAGGGATTCAGTTGTGGCTTTGTTTTTTGTTTTATATTGGTTTTGGAATGCTAGGTAGGAATAAACTTTGTCACTGACACCATGAAGGAAGAAGCAACAGTTAAGGAGAAAGAAGAGAAAAGAGAAAGAAGAGAAAAGAGAAAGAAGAGAAAAGAGAAAGAAGAGAAAAGAGAAAGAAAAGAGAGAAAGAAGAAAACTTAAACATGATCAAGAATTGGTAAAAGAATTCAAACCTTACAACCCAGATATTATTTTCCTACTAATTCACTTCCATGGTGGGAATTGGTAAGTATATTCAGTTCTTCATTTTTCTCCACTTTATTTCAACCACAATAGTTGACAGTTTTGTAATTTGAACAAAACCCTGTTCTGAAGATTAATAAACAATGACTTTACCCCTCAGTTTTAATAGTGTTTTTATATAAAATAGTCTTAAAAAAAACTTTACTGGAATGAAAGTAAGTAATAATTAATTAACTATGGAAATAAACTGATGGCTGAGAATTTTATATTCCCTACTGACACCCACGATCAGTGTTCTGATTGTGGATGCTGATTTTCAAGAAGACATGCGTTGCAATTTTTTCCCACTTGGTGCAACATAATCTTTCCAATTCTGTTACTTTCCTCATTTCACTTCTTGTCACACTAAGCTAGGTCTCATAAATAATAATTAAATTTTCGTTTTTGCCCTCTTCAAATTTTTTTTTTTACTTATGTACAGAAAAAAACAAGTTCTCTAATGTATCTTTTTGAACACAACATGAAATCAACATACTGATTTAAATGACATACCAATACATCATGATAAACTTAGAGATTGCAAATTCAATTTTGTTTTTGTATCAGAATGTTAGTATATCATGGCAGTAAAAATACTCTCTACTAAAATTCCTCTCAAACAAATTCTTTAAAAAAAAAAAAGTGTACACTTGTTACTCAGAAAAACTTTTTTTTAATGGAACCTGAATCAATTCCAATTGAAATCGTTTTGAATATTTCCAAAATAAAAATACCGTTTATTCTCTACTTTTAAATGGTTTCAATTACTTAGCTAAAATCCATTCAGTCTTTTGTTAAATTTCTGATAACCACTATTAAATACTAATTATTTACATTATTCAGACTATTTTCCTCATCTTTGTTGCCATATTTATCGCAAGATTTTGGCCGTTGTACACTTCAGCCTTCTTCAGGTGGTTGGAATGTCAAACTGAACCTTTTATTTCAATCGCTGGGGTAGACTGTTCTAGTTCCACGTGCGATATCTAATGGATATCAGTTATCAGTTATCTCCTGTTAATTCACCTCTCCAATTTCTCTACTGCCTTAACCAGGTATTGAACTCACACTCTTTGGGTCCTGTCACTAACCAACACCTTTATCCACTGTACCATGTGTACTTAAGGATAAAGATCCTTGGTTAGATCCAGTGACAGGACCCAAAGAGGTGAATATTAATACAGTCGAGCAAATATTTCAAAAACACAGTGTCAAGTGCATTGATAATTATAAAATAAAAAATTGGAATTTTTATTTAAATTTAATAGAAGCAAAATTCACCTTTTATTCAATTTACTGATTTTATTGCCAAATGCCATATGTTTAATTTGCGATGTAGTGAATGCAAAATAATAACAACACCCTTCAAATTCAAAGAACTGAGGATAAAGAAGGAAAGAAATTTGCAAGCCTATGTGAGACTTTTGTCTTTCACAGAAATTAACCAGTGAGCCGAGAAGGAAAAATATATGAAGCATATATGAAATTGTTTTTGGACCAATGAAAACCTTGCCTTCACATAAATTACCACATGAACCAAGAAAAAAAAAGGAAAGAAAGTAGCAAACATACACAAAATTTTTTTTATATAAAATGAGGAGAAAAATTAAATTAATGAGAAAAGTATCTGAAGTCATGTTAAAGGTTTCGTTTCAGTTCTTTGTGATCAGCATTAAATTATTCGCCAATTATATTATCGGCTTTTACCCAAACATATGGCACTTCAAAGAATTTTGTCTCAACAATCCAAGAAAGCTAAGTATTTCAAACTATCTACATCTACTTTTGAATGTATGCAGACCATATATCTGTTTGGTGAGCAGCAAACATTTTATTATTTTGCGTCAGATCATTTAATCTGTTGTATAAACATTTCCTCTGCATGACAATTCGTTAAAACTATGAGATTTTAAGAATTTTGATTTATTTTCCTGAAACTAGTTACTGACACTACTTCAAGCGTGTAAATTCGTGAATAAATTCCTCATCTTGTTTTGCTAAAATTGCCATTGCGTTTCCTAGTCATTATCGTCCTGCATTAATCTTCTTGGTATGAGTAAATCAATTGTTCATTTTAACCACTAAGCCCCATGCCACTATAGAGAAATGTCAAAAACTATTGCTATTTGTGAAGACAACAAATTCCAAATGGAAATTGCCTCTAAGCTAAAAATATCCAACTGTAGTGTGCAACAAATTTATAAACAGTATTCACATGGATAAGATTTTACAGACAAATTTTTACCACAAATTATCTCAAACTGATGAAAGAAAAATTTTCCATGGCATTGAAGAAATACCAAAGAAAAATGGTTAATCAAATTCAAATAATTTGATGTATATTATGAGTGTAAATACTATCAAATATTGTCTATGACAAAATAATTTATTTGGGCAAATTTCAGGTAAAAAACTGGAGAAAAACAAATGAGAAGCAAAAATGTGATGTGCTTCCAAAAATGACTGGTTAGTCTCCCCTATCCCAGATTATTGGAAAAAATATTTTTCAGACAAATATAAAATTGAATTTCTTCCAAGTCTGAGACAATATGTAAGAACAAACTATTTATTGAAAAATATGAAAATATCCTGAAAAAAAAAAAAAAAAAAAAAAAAAACAAACTGTAAAAACTCTGCAGCAATTCAAGAAAGAAAAAAAAAAGTCCAATCATTCTATGCAAAAGAAATGTAAATTAAAATGAATATCAACATTTACACCCTTGTGCAAATTAATTATATAGGAAGATGTGGGGGCCATTATCACCTATGTCCTTGTGCAAATTAATTGAAACAAAATGAATAATTCCATTATTATTTACTTTTTTTTCTTCATATTTTTCCAATGAAACAGGACATGTTAATACTTTGTATATCCATTTTACAAAGTCGTTCCTTGCAGATTGACCACAGACACTAAATTGGATTTAAATGAGGAGAGTTTCCAGGCCAGTCTATAGTTCTTTGATTTGCTCACTGGTAAGGCTTGCCAGTGTGTTCATGCAATGTTACAATTTTTGTACACTTCCTTGGAATAACATCCATCACAGACAATGGCCATAGGACAACTAATCAACAGTTGAGACAATAGTGTCTGGGCATGATAAAATTCTGATGCAATCTTCTGATCGCACAATATTTTTGAACACCAAACAAATTTCATCATACAGCACAAAAATAGATTCATATTACTGCACACCACTGCAAATAGCCTAACCTGAGGAAAAAATAGAAATTGATTACACCCTGTCACTCCAGTGAATCTAAAACTGACCGTATATATTTCAGCTTTTTCTAACTAATAAAAAAGTATGATGTACAAGCTAATTTATATAATTATAATGTATATTATTTTTAGTTCTAATTAAAAACTCTTTTATATATCATATAATCAACATATAGAGATGAAAGTTTACATTGATAGACTGTACTTGTTAGAGTTATCAAAGTCTGGTATAAGACTTTAACCTTTCTTATTGGTACTAAACTAGATTTATTTAAACATGGCAGAAGGTTACATAAACTTTATTATTATTAGAGTTATAATAAAACTAGTTTATGCTCATTCATGACAAGGTATTTTTATTCAAGTAAGATTTGTCAAGTTCAGCTTATAAAAACAATGGTCAGCTTTCAGGATTGAAACTGCACTGTCAGTTCCATTCTCTCATGTCAGACTTACAAGCCATTGTTAATTGCTTAATTACAGGAAACATGAAAGAAATCAATTTATTGATTTTGTTTGTTTAGTCAAATGACTAAACCAATATTCCATTTGTAAAGAGTCTTGGATTTTTTTCTACTGATCGTCACACCTGTTTTTCCAATAACATCACTATCCATGCCAAAGGATGACAACACTTTTCAAGCATGTGCATGAGTAGATGTTTTTTTGTCTTCAGTTGAGTAGAGGAAAGCAAGAAGAAAGGACTAACCATTAATTGCAAGAAGACAGAATGTATACTTGTCAGCAAAAAAAAAAAAAAAAAAAATGTCCAAGAGCTAGATCAGAGATATGAAAATCAAACAAGTACAGAAGTTTAAATATCTTGGAAATGTTTTAACAGATGATGTGAAAGTGAAATCTGAAGGCATATTGGAATAGCAAAAAACCCTTCCAAGAACTAAGCAAAGTATCAAGAAACAGGAAAACATATTTCCATAGAAACAAAGAAAAAGATGCAAAACTGCTTCGTAATATCAATCATCCTATATACCAGTGAATGCTGGACAATCTCATTACAGATGAAGAGAAGACTGGAGGAAACAGAAATCTGATTCTACAGGAGTATGCTGAGAATTCCATGGACAAAATATATATGACATATAATAAAAAAGGTGAGCTTGGAGAATTTGACACTCACAGGACATATTAAAAACAAAATGGACAGGAGGGGTAGTGGGCCACCTTCCTGACAAGCTTGTGAATTGATGGCAGAACAGAGGGTAGGAGATGTGGTAAAAATACAAATGTTACAAAAAGGAAATTGTGGAGAACCATAATCACCCATGTCCTGAAAGGACATGGCACGGAGAAGAAGAATGAATTCCACAGGTTTAGATCCACCCTCTCAACATCCTAAGATCCAGTGACAAATGTTTTCCTTACATCAATGTTTGTTTGCATGTGTGTGTGTGTTCCTGTTTAAAACTAAGATATTTTGAAATTCTCAATGAAAGAATCAATAAAGTAGAACTGGTATTTTATGTTAATTAGTACAAGAGAGTCTATTTTCCTATTTTTTAACCTCATTAGAAAACAAACTTTTGAATTAGATTTCTAGCAAAGAGATTTAAGAAACAGCACAGGAGATTGCTACAATTTGTAAGTTTAATATTTGCATGTCAAGAAATGTGCAGGTATTTATGTGTGTATATGTCTGTATGCATTTCAGTGTTTGTGTGTGTGCGCATATATTTCTCAGTATGCATGCATGTATTTTTGAGTCCATGTGTGTCAAATGGTAGATAGGAGAAAGCATTAGATAAGGAAAACTCAACTGATCAACATTTGCAAACCTAAAGATGCTTAACTCTACAAATTGCCAATGATCTAAACAGTTGCAGATAAATAGTCTCTTCCCTGCAGCTTTAGGAAGCTTATGTGGGAACTGTGATGGATACAGTGTTTCTGATTATAAACAATTCTCTAGATAGAACATGTGAAAGCACATGCGATACCCTGCTCTCATCAGCCATCAACCAAGAGAGGCAACACAGTTTCAGTGGCTAAAGCAGTACTGCTACCCCTGGCACCACCAGCAGCTTTTGCCACTGGACAGGGGATTGTTTTTGTAGTAATGTCTATTTTTTTTTTACAACTGCAACCAAGATTTTCAACATTGTGTTAAAATACACAATGCTGTTATAGTGACAGATATTAAGGATGTAGAAATGAAGGTAAACAGATGTGTTTCACATTGGAAGTAGCATTGTGTTACAAGCAAAGTTTTATTTAACTTTATTTGGGATCTTGAACATATCATCCAACTCTATGCCTCAATAGTCAGCACATGACATGGTCATCCCTTTCCCATGCAGTCAGATTGCAGCAATTCATAGCAGTTTTTATTTTACTTGTGTACCTCTTCCCTGTTCTCCTCTCATAGAATCATTAATTCTATTGGGAGGACATAATTCTTTGAATCAGACCATCCTACAATATCAGGGTGGACATCTGTCTAAATGATGTGTATTGGAAACTACAAAGGTGTTCTAAGATCAGCTAACACCCTCCAATCACAGAATCCATTCAGTAGTGTCATGTTGGTAGTTATTTGGGTCTTTTGCACAGGGCGTTCACCTTGTTTATGAAAATGGATCTTAAGTTCTCTGGCCGTTACAGGCTGTTTGCTGGCTGCTTCACACTGTGTACTGTCCATGAACACTTCCAGCACTTTGTTATGATGCCACATATACATCTGTAATGATTGTTTGGCATACAGAGAGCATGTGATGTAAAGTGCCTCAATCACTTTGACATGATGCACATACAGCAGTGTCTGTGTACCCCATCCCCCCACCCCGAGCTTGAGGTTGGTTGCATTTGGTAGATCATAGGTAGATTGCAGGGGGGAATGATATTGCCAATGTCTTCATTGCAATCAGGGTATTGCATGATAATTTCATTGGATCAATATCACTCCATGTTGTTCAAGCACATTGTTTGGACTGAGAAACAGCAGATGTTTGCTGCTCTTCCACAAAATTCCTGATTTCCTCAATCACCATGTCTTGTTTACCCTTTGGAGAAAAACTGGTTGCTTGTGCTGTCCAGGTTTGGGTCACCCCCATCATCTCCTTAGTTTGCAGGCTGGATTCTCCTTTTTTAGTGGCTTCTACTGCTGACCATTTGGTGCCAGTTTTGATATTTGACCTGTGGACAAGCTCATAGGCAGAGTCCCTTATCATGTGAAGGCATACCTTCCTGACCTTGAACTCCCCCATCAATGAAATGGGAAGTTGCAGGTTTCCAGCATTGGTATAGAGTCCCACATGGAGGATGGGGGATGGGCATGGAACTCTAAGCCACTTGTTGATACTATATATATTTCATACAATAGGAATTAAGATTACATATAGGTGATGATCATTATCACCTTGTAAATTGAGATATGGGATAATATATAAATTTTTATCTATGAAGAACAATTTTGAAGAAAAGACATATGACAAAGTGTAAAAAGTTTGTGTTTCATCCCTTATCAACACATATACATACATTAATGTGTGTGTGTGTGTATATATATATATATATATATATATATATATATATATATATATATATATATACTTAGTCTTAGCAGCCACATTTTGTCATCTGACAGACTTTATCAAGGCCAATGTAATGATTTTATTTTGCAATAAGTATCTATTTGTTAGTTACTCAAAAATTTTAAAATTTAAAGACACTCATGAATATTCATCAGGTTAACTGAAATATATATATATATATATATATATATATATATATATATATATATATACCTTATCTTTTTTTTTTCTTTTTTTTTTTTTAAAGAATATTGTTTGGATTAGTGTATGAGATAGACGTTTGTGTTATACATCTTCAAAGGCTGAAAAGATGGATTTAGCCATTTTCTTTTGATTTTTCAACATATTTCTTGTGTATGTTTCAGTTGATAGAAGAATTCAAAAAGTGACCCAAAGAATTGTGTGTTTAATACCTGGCCATCGTGGAGGAAACAAACTTGAAGAGTTGAGTTACTAAAGGGAATTAACTGAAACTGAGGTATCCAAAAAGGGTGTGGCATGTAGAATTAGAGTAATCTGCTCCTGTGAACTAAATAAAATGTTCAGCTCAAAATTCTAATGTATGTCATCTGAAGAAGGCTGGAGCATAAAACAGCCAAAATGTTGTGAATATGGCAATAAAAATGAGAACAGCAGTCCAAATGATGTAAATAGTTACAATACCTTGTCTCTGAAACATAGACAGATAATAATAGTTATATAGGGCAAAACAAGGTATCAATTCTTAGCATTACCAGAAGGGAGAGACAGATGGTACACCTCATTCTCAAATAATGCAAAGAATTCAACACTCTGGAATATTTCTTTTCCATGATCATTTTCCATTTCACAAATCTGTGGACCAGATTAAAAAAAAAAAAAAAAAAAAAAAAATCAGAAAAATGTGTACAAAGCAAAAAACATCTCAGAAGAAAAACAGATTCAAACAAGAGATAAAAACCAAACTATGTGGTTTTATTTGTTCAGAAAAAGTAGGTGTTAGGGAACTCCTCCTTTTTGTTATATTTCACCTAAATCTTTAAATGTAAATAGACTAGTCTTGTGGTTTCATTAACCCTTTATAGCTAGAATCCAAATGTACTCAGAAGTTTCACATGCTTACAGATCAGGAACACCTAAATGCACCTGCAAATGGATTGTTCACTGTATTTCAATAAACAGTGTCACATGATCAATTAAAGACGCCAAAAATCTGCAAAAGATTTCCAAACCCATCTCTCATAACCAGTCATACTAAATGGTTTAATGAACAATTACTGTAGTCAGTTTATTTTTTGGGAAAAGAGATTTTCTTTATTAAAAAGGACTATATCTAAATAATTCCATCCATCAGAAGTGAAAAGTATTGACAGATTACATATTTATGGAAACTAAAACTTCCGTTTTTAAATCTATAAACTGAAATATAAAGTTTATGCTGCAGAGTTTAAGTGGGGGGGGGACAGAAGTTGTATTGAATGGAACAATTCATGATTTGACTGAAAATTCTAATATTAAACCTTGAAGAATCTTTTTAAAGATCAACTTATTCAATCATAATGGTTGCAGTACTGAAAATATAAATAATTTAAAGCATTTCCCTTATCTTTGCTTGAATCCATTTCCTATATCAAAAAAAGAATGATTTGGAGAAACAGAACTTCTATTTTTAATATGGAAGGTAAATTATATATTAGAATTTTGCCATTTAAACATATCATTTAAGAAAGAAATATTGATTAAGTTATGAAGAATAAGAAAACTATTTACATTTATTTGTTTTCATGCCATGTCCCTTCAGGACATGGGGTTTTTTGCAGCTTCTTTTTTTCTTTTATTGTGCTGCATGTAAATGATCATGATTCTTCCCAAATTCCATTTCCATTATTATCTGAATTAGCAGACTTTCTCTGGGAAAGTTAGTGGAAAGGTTTCCTGTTGCTTTCTCCAGAGTCTGAATTCAGAGTTTTCCTTCTCTTAGATTAGTTACTATGCAAAGCTAGAGAGCCCATCCTGCTAGTTGGTAGGAAGAAGAGAGATAGATCATCCATGTCTTTTCCAAAGGAATTTTTGAGCAAGTAAATGCAGCAGGAAAAGCTATGATTTGAACTTGTTTGCTGATTTCACTTTCTTCCACTACCCATACAACCATCTACATTTAGAGTGTTTCTTAAAAACTTATACTCTTGATAAAAAAAAAAAACACTTGTGCCAAAGGAAACTGAAGCACAAATGACTAAGTTGTGATGACAAGTGATTTTCAATAGATTTCATTGCAAAAAAAGTAGATTTTAGAAGGTAATTTTATATATTTATTACCAAAAAGAAAAACACAAACAAGAAAGAAGAAGCAAGTCTTTCTTTCTTTTTTCTTTTTAATAATCAATATGAAATTACATTTAATAATAGATATGTTTGCAGAACAAGTTCAGTTGCAACAAGAAATTGCATGAGGCTTTAACAGATGTCAATCAAGGATTTTATAAGTAAAAGGTAAACTGCTATAGCAAATAGGAAGAAACAAGTTGGTTTTGTACTTGTTTGAACCAACCCTGGTCTCATTTTTAGCAGCATTCTAATTCCCCTAAACTGGTCCCTTATCTTAGTTTCTAGATCTAAGCTTAAAACCTGACAAGGACAAAGGTCAGAGACATGGCAAAGTTAAGAAGGACATCTGTCTGGAGATAAATTCTTGGATGGATTAGCCATAGCCAGTAGAATTGATTACACTCAGAGTTACTGAAGACCATTTTCAGACAGTTTGCCATTCAAAGAAACTACTAACAAGCCAAAGATAAAATAGGGCCTTGTATGTTATCAAGTTTCAACCTTTTAAAGTGCAAAAGCTAATCAACTTTTTCTTGTACCCATCATGAATTACAAGAGAAATATCCCCTTCCTTGAAGAGGTCTCCTTATTGCTATTTATATCACTTGATTTTACAAGTACATAAATGTATTAATCTTAGTTGGTACATCAGGCAACTATGCCTGATAATCCAGAAATGCTAACACTTAAGATAATGTAACAAATACTCGCACATTTTTATTTATAGCAATTCATCTTAAAAAATGTTAATAGATTTAATCATTAAGACAGCTGCTATTGTTAAGAGCTAAAAAAGATAGGAAGTTGTGTAGAGTCATGATCTCCCAGATTCTGAAGGGAGACAGTACATAAAAGAAAAACTAAATTTCCAAAGTTCATTGAAAAACCAAACCAGTTATTTTAATCAAGTCCACTTTGTCATAGTTTTTTTTTCTCTAAAATATATAGTTAAGAAATTTCCAAACAAAACTTTAAAAATATTCTGTAATTGCTAAACAATGAAGAAATACAAAAAATAGACATTGTAGGGTGGAGCTGGAATTGTGAAAATGTCATGTATTTAAGCATTTAAATGATATGAGGACAAAGAAGAAAATGAAGAAGATATTTAAAATAAATCTTTGATATTCAAACTGATCAACCTATTCAAGAAATAACAACAATAATGATCATAAACAGGATTGTAAATGTAGTTGTACTTATAGACCCCACAAAAATATAAAGTAAACAATTGGAACAATACCATGACCAAATGAGGGAAGTGAGAAAAGTGTGAAACATCAAAGTTAAGGTGGTTAACATAATAGCTGCTGCAATTGAAATATTTTAAAAAAAAATTGAAAATAATCCAATTGATATTGAATAAATGAGAAATATGTAGAAGAATGTTGTTAATGGATAAAGGCGTTGGTTAGATCCAGTGACAGGACCCAAAGAGTGTGAGTTAAGGCAGTGGGCATGTGGAACTAGAACAGTCTATCCCAGTGAGAAAATAAAGGGTTAAGTTTGACATTCCAACCACCTGAAGAAGGCCGCAGTGTACAACGACCGAAACATTGTAATAAATATGGCGACAAAGATGAGGACAATAGTCCGAATAATGTAAATAATGTTGTTAGAATTGTAAATATGGTAAAAAAATCTCCAAAGTCATAACAAATTTCCCTCTTTTCACTCAAGTATATATGGTTATTTTCTATGTGTAGCTTAGATGTGGCACAAGGCCAAAAGTATGAAGCAATCGATGAGAGTCAAACTCACTATTCAGTCATAATAGATCTAGCAAAGCAAGCTTGCTAACCATTACACCATGTGCCCTCACTCAAGTATATATGTATTTCTTATATAATTCTAAAAACAGATTTTAGCTTTAAGAAGGCTGGGTAATTTTCTGTTTAGCAGTAAAATCCTGTAAATAAAAATAAATCCAAAAAGAAAGGGAAAGAACAAGAGTTATTTGAATAAGTAATTTTTACAGAAGTTAATGTCCTAATAACATTTATCCATAACGGAGAGTTTTTGTCATTTCTTAGATGGATCTAAGAAAGAGATCTCAGATTTGATAGTCTGCAGAGAGTAGATCTTTGCTGAGAATGTTGCAACAGAATAGAGAACAGATTATAAGACAGCCCCACAATTTCTAAAATAAGTTTCAATAGAATTAAGTAGAAAAAGAAATGGAACAAAAAATAAATAACGACACAAAAGAGTAGAAATAGTTAAAATAGAATGGATGAAAGGCAGAATAAGGGAATAATGGTTAAAATAAAGAGCAGAATAAAAGAATAATCTATACCTAATGACATAAATAACAACAGCCAAAACAGTCCTTTTCAAATTGAAAAGTAATGGAAATTGTTGGATTACCGCCCTCTGATGATAATCACAGGAATCACGGGATTTGAAAGAATCCATCACTTTCCTGGTGACATTTCATAGTGAAAAGACATATTCTTTTCACTCACACCAACATGTAAGCACTTCAACTACTGACACTGAGGGTCACACTTCAAACTCTTCACATTTAATTTCATTTCTTATTTCTCCTTTTGTAAAATGTCCCATCAACATATTTGTTAATATTTATTTGCTTAAATTTTATATCTTATTTTTTCCTAGACTCACATGAATCCACCAAAAATTGTTTGCAGATCAAATGTACCAGGAGCATAAAAATCTCATCAAACCTGTTGATACAGACAATAATATAAAATAATGAAGATGAATTAAAATAATCATTAGTTAAAAATGGTAAAGAATGATGTATATTCTAACCTAAATAATATGAGTAAAAGAACATAATGAAATATAAGAGAATAATTTAACCAGTATATATAAATACAATGTGACTACATTTGTCACTTGAGCTGGTCTTATTAATTAATAATTTGATATTCTATTGTTATGATAATATATAGCATTGCTGGGTACCACTCAAAGTAAACATGCCTTGTGTTACAATTAAAAAATGGCTTTCATTGGGTTTGTTTCTGTGAAGGATTTAAAAAGCAGAATCTTTTCTTTATAATCTGACTTTTTTTTAAAGGAAGTTATAGTCAAGGGAAGTAAATCTGAATTGCTTGACATTTAATAAAAGACAAGATGGTAAAATAACCTACAAAAAATGGAGTTTATAGTTTTTTATGCCACAAATTCTTATTATATTTCTGGTAATATAAATAAAAATAATTATTTCATGGTGAACAGAATCTTATTTGCTTAGTTTCTGATATTTTATCAGTACAATGCAATTGCACAATTATATAGATCTACCATCATTAAATGGTAACAGTAAATTCGAAATATAACAGCCATAATGATAGCAATGTGATAAAGGAGGGAAGAAAGATTTGTGTAAAATTGTTTAATTTATATATATATATATATATATATATATATATATATATATATATATATATAAAAGGCTCAAACACTAATATTCCATGGTTATAATTTATTATATTGGAATCGTAATCACGATCAATTCATCAGACCTACAAATTCAAATCTTGAAAATA